TCTTTGTTTTTTCTAAAAAAAATTCCTTCCTCGTTACTTTCCTAATGATTATCTACGTTGGTGTCTGTTACTTGTGATCTTCTGTTGCTTCGATAACGCATGATTTCACGGTAAGTAGAGTTTACTGCTGACTCAAGTATTTCGTCTTTCGGATCTGAATTTCTTATTAATCTCTGGATACGTCGATGACTTATTTCAGTCACACTGATTTGAATTTAAGGGACAGGAATAATGGCTGCTCAAATTGACAGCGACGTGCGTAACACGGTATTCATTTTGACGCTTCACCGTCAATTTGAGAAGTCATTATTCTCCTTCCTTTAATTTCAGACTACAGTAGAACCTCAATTATCCAAACTAATCGCCAATCACAGACACTTCATCGTATTTTATTACATCGATATACAAATCTGATTAATACACGTAGAAATTTTTAAATTTCATTCAATCCCCGCTTCAGTTTTCAATCCTTTTAATCTGCCACTACGCACAATCTTTCTAAATATTTCATTTCATTTCTTTCTTCATTCGTCTACTTCAGAAGTGCTTCTAAATTTGTGAATGTTTCAAAATGTATACAAATGTTATTTTTACAGCGACAATTTTACTCTTTCTTCTGTACTGGATGTCCCAAAATTATCCAACGAAACGAGCCACTCTGAGCAGTGGAAAGAACAAAATATTGTAGTTAAAGGCGTTTAGTTAATTAATTCAACATTTTCTCTTATTTTACGAATCGAATGCATGTCATAGTTTGGCTGGAAAGCTTTGGGATATCCTGTATAACTTAACGAGAAATTTTCCAAACATCTTGCGTCGATAAAACGCAGGTGTTGATTATTTATCATCCGTAGCCGCATAACTATAGGGATTCTAACCCAATCTGTGGCCTGGAAGCCGAAGAACAAAGGGGTAGGTACACTTGGTGGAAAGAATATAGTGAGGTACTCGAAGCACACTCGAGTGGTATGGAAAGCGACACCCTTAGGGGTGCAAATTGCCAAATGTGCTTTTCGTTATATAGGGTCGCATAGGTCTGCCACGCCTAAATCCTTAATCTGACCGAACGCTTCACCCTTTGTGGCCTTTTGTCCAAAGTAGACATTGATTCTATTCCTGTGAGTCCTTCGTCCAAATAAATTACTTCAACCCTTGACATCAAATTTATTTGATTGTACCTTAACGTTGTTTAAATATATTGCGCGACATCGATGTCTAGCGAGAGTTTGTGTACCAAAGTGGAACCTTGAATCTTCTATGACGCTTAAAACTGACGGTTATCAAAAAATTATATTGCCTTTTGGACAGCAAGGTTCCATTCATAAGCACAGAAATATCCTGCAGGATGTCGACGTTTAGACACTTCGGTTCGTGGTTCGCTGCATTCTATGGACGTCTGGCTCGTGAGGATAATCTGCCACATGGTGTCCAAAAAGTATACAGAATTCGGCCCTGGGATCTTGACTCCAGACATTTAAGCACGCCACCATCTTCACCGTGTACTGTTTTTACGACCTCACTCTATTTCTACCGCCGAGTGTACACAGGCGCGCGTGAGCACACTCGTTATTGCGTTTCCAGAAAATTCAGATGCCATGGCGCGGGAAAGACGGATGGGGGAAAAAAGAAAAGGTAAGTAGAGCACAGGGAAAGCTCGTTGTTGTGTTCAGAAAAAATTTCGAACCTATTCTGCCGCCCTGAGCCGGGGAGCCATATTTCAGATGCTTATTACTTTAGATTGCGCGTTCAAATAGCTTAGGTTTTCTCTTAACACATTGGCTGTCGCGTTATTTTTCACTAAGCACCTAATAAAGCTCGTTCCAAAGGTTAGTTATCGCTGAAAATAAATCTAGATGAGGTTGTTGAATTTTATAGAAATATACGCTATAATAAATTTATTCGTGGCGATCAACGTGTTTATTTGATTAAGATTTCTTTTATTATGGAAACTTCTAAAAGATTCCTGACCAGAGACTGCGTTTGCGGTGGTACATTATTCTTTCAATATGTTTCTGTTTTGTTCTATTTTTGTGTGCCGCTTGTGCATTATTTTTTGACAGAAACTTTTGAGGCCCCTCAGCGCGCCCCGCTCTGATTTGAAGTTCCCCGGTAAAACTAGGACGAAACGTAACTTCCTTGCGTCGCTAATGGAAAACAGCCGTTGACGGCGGCCATTTTTTGCAGTTTAAAATACTCCTCCAGCAGAAGTTGTATATTCCGCTGCCTTGAAGCTCTCTACTCTAGACACATTTCACACACCCGCGAGAAAAGTGACACAACTTATAAAAACTTCTGTTTATCGGATTATGTATTCATTGCGTAAGAAAGTTGTTAAGTTACCAACAGGTGAAGTGCAACGAATGTTTCTAAAGTAAATGAGAAATTAAAACATTTGTAGATTCGCAATTTTAAAGAAACGCAACAGCGAGTGTGTGCACTGCTTACCGCCCTCTTCCCTCCCACCCTTTCATCCCCTGCTCCAGAACCCATTTATTGGAAATAAATAACTGCGAGAATTGTTTGCTGGAGTAAACATTTATACGATGTTTTTCAGCAAAACATATGAATTTTAAGACCGAATATGATTGTCCCTATAATTATTATCCACTTTATGCTTTTTTTATTATTTTCTTCTTTCTTTTTCTATGCCTACTATAAGAATTTATCGCATGTGTCTTTAGTAGTATATTTTACGTCACTATACATTAGCTATAAAATACACCTGTTATAGTATATTTTGAAATGAACCACTGACACTGTTTGGATAATCGAATGTTCAAATATTCGTGTGTTCGATAAGTCACGGCTCAGCTGTAGTATTAACCCTTCGGGGTTGACGTGCACCGTATGGGGACATAAGGAGCTGCCTCCCTAAGTGGACGGATACCATATGGGGGCAAGTAGCAATGGGTTTAAGTGTGATCGAATTGCTTCGAATCTCTAACTTTACTTTCGAATTATCTCGAATTTTATTAGTGCGGAGCTCTGATTGTTTCCGAGTACAGCAGAATCTTGATAATTGGCTGAAAACACCAATTTGTACAATGATTGAACTATCTGATTTAATAAAATAGAAGTCCACTTATGCTATAATACAGAATTTCCACTAACGATTTACAGAAAAAAACTCTTTATGCCTCCGTACAGTGATCATCGATCCCAAGGGGTTAATTTCATCTTTTGCGTTGCAATTGCAACTACAGTTAGCAATTATCAACATCACAGTCATTACTGTAAATTATGTTCAAAGTATTGGTATATTTTGTGTCCCAAAACGCTTATTTGTAATTATTCGTTTATCATATTTCTGATTATGATCATTAAAAACAAGCTTTGCACGACGTTCGGTCGTATCGCCGTTAAGAGCCGTTGATAAAATGCACTTTGTTGTATCAATCGATCTATTTCACTCAGTACTCGAGCGTAAATGGCTAGTTCTCCATTCATGCTCCGTGATTCACATGAAATCAATAAATCATTCAGTTCGAGTAGTCACGGGTAAAACTATTTCCATGCAACCGGTAATCCACGAGAAAAACTGATGGAAACACAGATACGGATATCACGATATATTCTTCCTGCAAGATGTGCAGTATTGATCCGGTTGTTTGCGAAAGAATGTTACACGGAATCTGGAAGAGCGCTCTGTACCTCGTTACAATCCAGAGTTGGGCACAATTTTCCACGAAAATTAAAGAACTTAATTTAAGAATTATTCGCGTAACGTGGATAAAATAATTTCTTACGAATAACAAATACGGCCCAGATGAATCGTTCGACTTCGACTTAAATTAGTACACAATTATTTAAAGTATATAAACTGAACAAGAAATATGAATTTATTTTTGTTCATTTATATTGGGCAATTATTACATAATTGTCTGGGTAATTTTTGGCGAACTTTTGTTTCAAATGGTGGAAATATTGCCCAACTCTGCGAAAGGAAGGAATCATTTTTTGATACTTCGTGGCACAAAGTTTCGGTTGAAAGTTCGCTTAAAAGTTCTTTCGAAACAGTGAAACGTTAATTTCGCCGAAATGTCTGGCCGCCATTCAGACATCCAAGTTTCGAACTAATTCGGCATATCTAACAAGAAGAACAGCGCAAATATCTTCGTCTTCTTCGGCAATGTATCTCAAGGAGTGCAATACCATTCTTCGTATCTTTGAAAGCTGCATCGTCTTGGATTCGTGAATTGTTCAGCGAACAGTTTGCCGGGTTTTATTGAGCGCAAAGTAATGTGATTTTCGACAGAAGAATTCAGCAATATTCCCGAGATACTAAAATTAATAAAATTCATATTTATTATCCGATCGACAACCTGTTAATCCAGCTTCGCTATTAAAGCGTTATTGTGTCGACCAGGTAACCGAGGAAAGTATGTTGCTTGCAGTAGCTGTTTTATCGTTTTCCCTTTTTGACGAACAAAAATTAACGTTTGGTATTTTGTCGCATAACAAGGACGCTTTTTTTGATTTGTTTTTTGTCCCGGAAACAATTTTAACGCTTCGAGCTGGGGAAAAAATTTATTTATTAATACATTCTTTCCTTCCTGTCTTTCAGTATTAAGGGGGGGAAGACAAATTATTCGTTGGCTGTAGACGTGATTAATTTCTGCAATAACCTAGCAACAAAGAGACTAAAACACGACAGAATTTTAGACGAAGGTATTATAATTGCGCTTTGTCTTAAACCGAAATTAATAATACCTCGTGCTGTAATAATGAAATTGTGCAATGTGTAAACTCGAAATGATAGGAAATTTTGTTGATTATATTTTTGAGAGAATCCACGATTTACATATCCACTGTCGTAAAAATATAGAAATAGAGGGGAATGGGTTAAAGTTAAATATTCTGAGATTCATTCAATTGTGTCGGTGCAAAACGCCGAGCCCGTTTAGAGCGTTCTATATAATTATATTTAACGGCAACGCGTGGAAAGAGTGTCGCTTAAGTACAGATTCTGATAACTTGAAATTTGGTTTGAATGAATACAGAGTGTTACACGACCGAGTATGGGCAGTGTCTGAGCCCAAAGGGGCAGCTCTACTTGAAGGTCGACAGCGAGGGTAAGCCTGACCTAACCTTTAATCATCGCTTCCGCAGGAGCCTTGTATCATCATGCCATATGTATCACACCCACACACGTACACACTTACACTCATATACATACACTTGTCACATTTACACCGATTGTATTATGCTATATCTTAACCCGATCCGTGTGTCCCTCTCACGTTACTGTACTCTAGAAGCTGCCACTGCTTGCTTGCTTGCTTTTTCGCGTTCAGATTTCCAACCACGAGTCGCTAACAAGCCGCTCGATATGCAAGCTGGAGATTCTTCATAGAATCACTTCAATGTTTCATCGAACTTTCAGCCGATGCGAATTCAAGTCGAAAGAATGCTCCTTGACGAGAACGACCCTCGCTGGAACTTCCTTTATATCGTGTACATTTTTTTTCATTCTTTCACGTGTTTTCATCGATATTGACAGTTGTACAGGGTGTTTCACGATTCTCGGTAGACAAATAGATGGACAATGTTGGAACAATGGTGTACGTGGCTTTGATTTTGAGAAAATCTGAATGAATCGATCGTTGGGGGAAAAAATATACCGTTTCTATCCTTTAAAGACCAAACAGTACCTTCTTATCAGGAAGTAAAATAAAGTAATAAAAGAACGTGCGTTTAAAATACTAGCAAATAATTATGAATGTCGATGAATTCGAGAGGATGGACACGTAAAACGAATGCATGATGTGACAGGAAGCTTTAACGAATACACGTTTGTTCAGACTAATGAAGAGATTAATTTTATTCAGCAAACAAGCAATTACTTATGTTGAATATCGAATTCAAATTCTATTTTCATCTTATAATGCAGGAATAATTGGATTGACCTATAGAGCTCTGTTTATGTTTATCAGTGTGTTTGCTCGTTCACGGCTGGCTAGAAACACGTACAAATTGTCAGAACTGATCAATGATGCTGTTATTGCAACTGCAGTACGAGTGCTTAAATTAGTAGCAATTTGTAATAACAACATGCTTTAATACGAAACTGTTAATTTACAGTACTTATTAACTTCGATATTGATTTTCTTAAAAACGAAACTTCGTACCCACGAATTTGATGTGTTATTCTAAATATGTACCTTCGATTAATTTTTTTCCACGACGAATCAACCCTTCCCTGGTTGTTCTATCCGTTATGGATCATCCGTATTCAATGTTTATGTCTTCTACTTTCTTATGTCTATCTTTATTAGTGGCATTAATGTACTGTTAAATTCCATTCGTGTTGGTGTACTATTTTTGTATCCATTAAATGGAGTAGCTGCATATTTCAGTGTTAATCCGTTCATCCCCCTTATCAGGTTAGGAAGGGAACAATATACGTAGGAGGGAACTGCATTCTCATAGCAAACGTTTAATAATGATCACTCGGTGACACAATGAAGAAGAAATTGCAGTGTCCAAAGAGAATCGTAGCAAAGCGAGCCGGGGAATAATAAACTCGGTGTCAATAATAGCGATTACAGCTGCTTTATCTTCGACGACGGTGCATCGAAACTTCAATAATCGCGTAGACGAGTTGAACATTCGATCGTCGGAGGCGCTCCTTGCCAAAGAATCGCGTAGGAAATCGGTTCCCATGTTCACCGAGCGCTCTGACCCGTGCTAATTCGATTCTCTGATATAACGACACAAACACAGGTCTGTCTTTCTCTACGAATAACGGCGACGACGATAAGATTCTTATCGTTGACGATGGGCAGATGTTGCACGGCCCGATATTACTCCGTCGATAACGATCGTACTCCTATTTGTCTGTGTTCTTTCGATAGGACCGACGTCCACGGGCTGCAATTTCCCTTTCGAGGACCTGACCGACGCCGAGGATTCGCTAGTGAGCGACACGGAAGACAATATCGGTACTCGTATGCCTGCCACACTCGCATAACAACGAGAACCCGGGGGTAGACACGAAAAAAAAAACAGCTTCGATTATCCTTCGAAACGCGATTGCCCCTCGCGGATTATTACGGTCCGTCGACACGTGAAAAAAAAGTAACAGGAATGCTCGATATGTCCGAGCCGAAAAAGTCTTTACGACGTTCACCGAAACTCGGTCAGTCGACATCCTATCGACACGTATATCCGCTGGCTTTCGTGACCATTGATATATCGATCGAACGTGTTGTTTTCAATGCAATGATACGCACAAGTCGTTCTACCCCCGTGTCGTTCGGTCATGTCAGCTTCAGACGAACACGTAGTGTCTGTGTAGACACTCCACTAGACCTACGTGCGGTAGTTTGTTCCTGTAAAATCGTTGTGCAGGCTCGCGTAGTGACACGTACACGTTCTGTCGTCGAGCTAATATCCGAAGAATGAGACAGAGAGGCCCGTTTCTTCTTTTCATTCTTTTTTTTTATTCTGTTTTTTTTTGTTTTGTATCCCCCCTACGTCGACGTGTTTCGTTTTGTAGCGTGCGAATGACTCGAGTATTGCTTCGTCATTGTAGGGATTCGACGATTGAAGGGTTCATTACGATTGTGTTTTGTAAATTTGAATTTGGAACACGGTATTCCTGGCAGAGACAGGTAAAATTTTAGTCGAATTACGGCTAATCGAGAAACTCGTCATATTTTTATTCGTTCGTTGTGGAATTTTTATTTTTAATTAACGAGTAGCAAAGCAGTCTCTCATCAGTTTCATATTTTTACGTTGATGAAAATTTTGCCTGCCTCTGATTCCTGGAACGCTTCGAATGTGCGTCTCGTCGATAGTGTTTCAGGGAAATATTTTGTATCGGTTCTATCGAAATATGTGGGCATAACTTAAAGGTGAATTTGACATGTTTAAGTAACGGGAGAAGTTCATATGGATATTTGTCCAGTTTAAAAGTAATGAGTAAAGAGAGAGATAATTTTTACTTGGTATTTCACTGGTTTTATTCCGACTACGTAAAAGCTCGCTCTCGTCCGATCACCACTCCAGTTATAATTTATCGATCACTTTTATTATTATAGATTATACTTCAAACGGTTGTAAAGTCAACGAGTTTCAAAAGTTTGAAGTATCCTTCGAAGTACGTTTAAATGTAGGTAAACGCTGGAACATATTCAAATTTCATTTGCATCCAAATTGCCACTTCAAGAACAAATGGCTACAGAAATAAACCGCAAGGACTTACGGGGAACATACTCGAAGTGTCTCCCCTCGATTTTGATGAAACTCTACAGTTTTATAAAGCGACAAACGTAGGGGATACGTATTTTTTTTAGCGACGTTAACTTAAGTTCGAAGGGCAAAGTTACATTTCAAAGTTTTACCCTCCAATGCTATCTTAAAAACTACAGGAGCTGCAAGAAAGCTTTTTAAATAAATTCTTTATGATTTTTCATTGAAAATTTAAACTATTTTCATTTTGAATTTACGATCTATTGCAAATATATTTATCTTGTACTGATATTATATACATGTTAAAAATTAAGACATAAAATGTGTGACGTGGACGGCAGTGTTTGCTAGTTGTTTCCTTCGTTTGCTTCGTAATTTTTCCCTTCATACAGAGTTTGTTTAAAAGACTTCCCGCGCATGGCCTATAATTTTGAAGATAGCATCAGAAGGCTAGAATTTTAAAGGGTAATTTCATTCTTTACACTTGCGTTACTCGCCGTCGTTAAAAAAATTCTGAAAGAGTAAAATAACGATGCACCAAGATCCATGGTCCTGAACACTCGTGTAAAGAGTAATGTGACAGGTTAAAAGTCAAGGAAGAGTTAGGAAAATAGCAAGTAGGTCACCTCGATATAATGACCCATTTCTCCGCAGTATAGAGAAATAATTTCTCTTGGGTCCCCAGGACCCAGGTGTACCAGTTACGGGGTTAAGTGGTTACCAATTATTCCTGCCCATACTTTGGCTCTAAACTGATGTTGATTCTTTGATTATATAATAACGTATACATTTTCTGCGTCTGAACGATGAATAATGTTTCATCTCAATACATTGTCTCTTAAAAAATTGAGGTATTCGGTAAATAATATCGAACGAAGACAATTCTAATGAATACCAAAGTACTAGAAAATACTGATGTTATTCGTAGAATGTTATGAACATGTTTACAAACAATCCAGAAGGTCATACGTGAGGTAGAAACCATTCATGGTAAATAATTGAGTAGCATCTGTGGAGCTATCCCATTTTAAACGAGAATTATTGAAACGAAAAAATTCCAATAACTTGGGAACAAGGTCAATTAGGATCAATAGGGTCAACAGGGCAAACGTTCGTATGAACTTTTTCGGTCTAAGGTCAATAGAATAATTGTTCGTATGAACTTTTTTATTTAAAAGGTCAATAGGACAAATGTTTAGACGAACTTTTTTTTATTACTTTCGTATGTCCAATTCGATCCTGACGTTATTCCCACACGTTTTTATACACCCTATATGCGAATGGATTATAAACTTATTCATTTAAATAAAATTTAATAAATATGAATGTTTATTATATTTAATACTGTTTGCATTATGTTATTTATTATATAAAGATTTATATAAAGATGCACTTGTTTTAATTCTCTTTAAATAGAAATAACAAACACATGGTTGATAGAATTTTTTCTGGAAAAGTTTTTCATTCTAGTTGACACTTTCTGTGCGTAAGAAACCCTTCAAAGTTTTACTTCTTTTTTCTTTCTCTTTTTTTTCTTATCTGTTTTGCGTTCAAGAATTGCCCGACTGTCGGGCTTATTTGTGTCGTCATTGTTCGTAGCGGTAGACTAGCCTGTCTCTGTGTGTTCCGCCTCTTCTGTATGTATTTGTGTTTGTCTATCGTTTATTGTCTGTGACGGATTGTCGTACATTACACCATCGATCCATAAATTTTCGAGAATACTTCGCACACACAATATGTAAATGGAACGTGTACAGACATACGCAGACACATTCGAGTGCATATGTTAACGCATAAAGTAATCTCTATAGAGTAAATTTTTTAAATATAGTTGAAAAAAAACTATCGTTAAAAAAGCATTATATTGGTAAAAGTTGTATGTACTACGAATATAATATAATCATTAAATGTAGCCATAAAAAGTTTTCAGTTCTGCAGGAAGCGCCTTTAAAAATATTTAATTTAGTTCAGGTAATATAAAAAGATCAAATTATATGTTATTGACTTTAGAAACGTTTCTAGACTTTTGCCGTTAAAAATTAGGTCAATCAAATAACTTCGCGTAAAGCTAATCGACAAGTGAACACCTTCGCGAGGAGTAAAAAATTTTAACGCGCTCGTGAAGATGAAATTTATAGTGCAATAAAATTACTCCATCTAAAAATTATAGGTTTGTTATAAACGGTATCGTTATACTAAACGAGAAGGTAGATAGATCAATTAACTTGATTCATAAAAATGTGACACTAAAAATGACACGCCGAAATTTTCCTATTTTTTCGAATAACATAAACAATTTTAATTTAATACATTTCTAGCTATTACACAACTTCGTAAACGTATAATATTTTAAACATTCTACTCATGTTTACTTATATATTATTCGCTAACATTTAATGCGGTTCTATCGACTATATGAAAATTATTTATGATACGTCATGAGTGCTTCATCAATTGTGCAATGGACAGTAGATGAAGCAAATGCTGTAGAAATATATTACAATTAACGAGTGATCGTGGTCAAACCACAAAGTATACAATGAATAAAAAGATTGATCGTAAATAATCACAGAATTTATTAAGCAACACTATTTTGCAATCTGCACTATGCATGTATGTCACACCTTGCACAATGTTTTTACTTCCCCGCTGTTTAAAATTATATGTACACCCAAACGATCTTTTCTTCGCATCCGTTTCAGAGAAATCTAAATTTTCTTCACTTGCTAATGTTAATTCATATATGGCTCGACGTATTTTTCTTCCATGATTCTCATTTGCTGTGCTCTATATTTCGTACTGTATGCGTATGATAATTTTGACCTACTTTGATGCATTTTTACATAATTCTGACAGACACCTGGACTGGGTCTTCCTTATTTCAATGCTGTTTTCTATTCTTACTGCAAATGAAATATATTTCCTCTGCTATGTTTGCATTTGCTTTTTTAATTACGTTGTACAATATCAAAGAAACGATCGACACGAAATGTTTTATTTCCATTATAAATGTACATTACCAATTCTATGTTTTCATGTTTTATATTTTTCATAATATTCTCTACATGCATTGTGCATATTGTATACAGGGTGATTTCGTTAGAGACAGAAGTTCTACTTATCTCTTTTGAGTGACAGACGGGGAAAAAATACCCAAGATGAAAGTTGATTGATTTCGTAAGGTAAGTAAGTTTGGAAGATAATTTCTTTCAAACGTCGTATTGTTCGGTGCACTTAAGATCATCGAGTCATTCTTAATCAGAATCATATGTCTTTCTGTGACTTGTAAATATCAAGGAGCTTCTTAAAACAAATTCATAAATCAGTGACACGCCTTACGATAATAATTCCACTTAGACTTGCTTCAACATAAATCGTTTGAAAATTTCTTGAATATCTAATTTAACGCTAACAATAAGATACGAGCAGTCTAGCCCAAGTTCCATTCGAAAATAAAACTTTATGACCTTGATTGCTCGGAAAAAAGTGACTTTTGAAAACGATTAACTTCACACGCAATTAAATCTGTGAAACCAACTTTTATCTGAAATCATTGAAATGTTTCCGTTTCAGTAGGTCACTCTGTATAATATTATAATTTTTATGCCCTATTATATACTATGTGTTTAATATATAATGCAACGATGATATTATTAATATTTCCGTTTACCATCAAAATGGTTTTGCGGTTTTGTGCCGTTTTTGCTTTTGGCCTTGAGAAACGCATCTCCTTCCGTACATGTTCGTCCACGTGCGTTCATTTCTTTCACCTCTTTGTGCAGCTTCATGTCCCGTTTCTTGCAACTCTGACCAGCCCCTTACACGTTTATTATGTTCGATTATGTTAGTGCGCAATGAGACACGAAATATTCTAGGTAATATCTTTATATTCTGTGCTCGTACAGTGTTGCTAGATGCGCCAATGCGTTCTCTTTTCACTGAATGTTTCATCCGTATCGCATTTACATACCACACACTCGATTGTTGGCATCATACACATATTCAGTTCGGTCCAGTCGATCCACTGTTTCACGAGAAGACCAGCAGCTCGATCGTTTCGTTTCGTTCGGCGATCTCTCTCGCGCGCGTCGAACGAAACGGCTCGAATTCAATCGATGAGGAATTAAAACACGCTGCCCAGCGACCTTTTTTTTTCTTTTCTTTATTTTTCCGAGCACGCTAATAACGCGGGCAGTTTCGAACTTCTCGTGTGCAACGCTCGAGCCGACAAAAACTTTCGAGCGCGTTGAAAGTTTCGTTTAACGCGACGATCGACTGCGAACTCTCGGAGCAATCACTGACGCCTCGCTTCAACTTTGCTCGACGCGACGATTGTTTTGCGCGCACCTGATGATGTTGTTGGTCGTCCAGGTCGCGTGGGATGTCCACATTTCATGGCACCGGAAGTGATCCAGCGCAGACAATACGGGAAGCCTGGTGACGTCTGGTCAGCGGGGGTGTTGCTTCATATATTGCTAACTGGCACACTACCGTTCGTGGGTTCTCGAGACAAACTACGGGAAGCGATTTGCAGAGGACGAGTGCAGGTAGGAGTTTACGAGATTCTCGTATCCTTTATGAAAATTAACCCCTTCACGGTCCAATTCGTAGATACGAGTCGGGGAAAGTTTATTCGCGAATAACGAATAAAAGTTTTAGATTGATTCGTAAACTAGCTTTTACCCGCGGCTTTGCTCGCCTGGATGGCAATTTCAATTTATAATGGAACGTAAACGGAAGATAATTCACCAATGAATTTTAATTCGTCATTCTCGGGAAGAATTTATCCAACTCTGGATAGGTGTAAATTTTTCGATTCGGACTCCAGAGTGGTTTGTAATCCAAAAAGAGCATCGATGGAAATTTCGTAGAATTATAGTCATGAGAAATTAGTATCAAATCATCGAGAGCGATAAAATGTGAACAAATTTTACATTACAGTTACAGTCGCGTCGGTATTTAAGTTGACACTTATCATTTTTATAAAATAGCCGTAAAAGGATACAATAAAAATAAATAAAATACGAAATGTTTACAAAAATAAATTTATTCGTGTCTTAAGTAAATAATGTCACCTTATTAATTATGTTCATTTGAGTAACAATAGCATTAACAAATATTTTCTAATGAACGTCTATCGGAAAGTAAGTTGACAATGGTTATAAAGTAAATTATAATTCTATAAGTAACAGTAAAAAAAATATTTAATAAGCAGTTTGATACCCTTTGGCTTTAATTACTTCCAGTAAACGATTTGGCATACTGTGTATTAATTTTTTTAACGTTTTGGGCTGTATTTCATCCCATGCCTTTTTTAGTGCGGCTATCAATTTTGGTTTTGTATAGCGGTCCGATTTTGGTATTTTTCGATCGAGTTCGTCCCATAAGTGCTCAATCGGATTTAAATCAGGGCTCTGCGGTGGCCAAGAAAGCAGCAATATATTGTTTTCGTCGATAAATTTTTTAACGATCTTTGCAGTATGTTTCGGATCGTTGTCGTGTTGGAATATGTATCCTGTATCTAGCCCAAATTTTTGAATTGATGGAAACAATTTTCTTTTAGAATATCGACGTATTTCGCTGCTGTTAATATACCACCAATAACTGTTAATTTTCCTACATTTTCATTGTTGAAGCAGCCCCATAACATTATAGACCCTCCGTGTTTCACGGTGGAGGTGATAACATTTTGTTTAAAAGCTTCTCCTTTTTTTCTCCACACATATTTCCTTCGTTTGTTTGATTGTAATTCAAATTTTGACTCATCACTCCAAATTATGGATTCCCAGAATGCAGTCGGTTTATTAAAATGCTCTTTTGCAAAATTTAAACGTTTGCGAGCATTTGTTTCGGAAATTTGTGGCTTCTTCCTAGATATTCGACCATGCAACCCAGCTTCGTATAAACGGGATTTTATTTGAGTGGTCCCTATTGGCAAATTTAAATCTTCTTTGATCTGTTTGGCAGTAATAAATGGTTCCTTTTTTGTTATTTTAACAATTTCTCGATCCCGACGGGGAGTTGTTTTTCTTTTTCTTCCCGTTCTAACTAAATTTTCAGGTTTCCCAGTAGTCTCTATCTTTTTATAAATTTTTCGCACCCCTTCCTTTGATATCCCAAAATCTGTGGCAATCTGTTGCAAACTTTGCCCTTCTCTCCTTCTTTTATAAATTAATAATCTTTCAGACTCGTGTAATTCCCGTATTTTCGGCATGCTACAAGTAACCAATTCTTAACAATAACAATACATAACAAAAAAAAACATTATATAAGAGACTAAATACATTATCAAATTATTAAATGCGCGTTTAATAGCAAAATTTTATTAATGAAATAAAAACTTGATTACGTCAACTTACTTTCCGGCGAACCAAATTTAGGAAATATTTTTACAGATTGACTGTTATTTGATTGTACGCGGTGTTTTCACTTTGACACTCACTGGTATACTGAGGCATTTCTTGTACATAATGTAAACAATGTCAGAATGTACGGAAGGACGCGTACAAGTGTTTAAATTATGGAACAATATCGTCAATACCAGAAATACAACAGCGTCAACATAAATACCGACGCGACTGTATATGGAACAAAGTTGTATAAATTATCGTGCGGCGAAAAGTGACGTCTCTGACTCCTATAAGTTATGGTTACGAACGATTTGAAACTCATTGAAGTCACGCGACTATCAACTACGGTTAACTTACCATAGGACAAATCGTTACATCGATGCATAAGGCTAGTTTGCTTTCGAAACGAGTATGACATCGTGATTTAGGTAGATTTCTTTTATTCTTTGCCAGTTCGTCTATTTTACGTAAAGCAATATCTTCCACGGATAATAGAGAATGATCTCGTGATACATAATTCTGAAAATGATGCCAGTAAATCGACAAGTAAAAGGGAGAGATTTTGTTGCCACGATTGATATTATAAATGGAACTTTGCGTGCAGTTCAAAGATTTACTATCTTCTTCGTAAGGTAGAAGTATAAAGTAATAGAAAACGAAAGTGCTAACTTAATTAGTTTCAAACGTGTAATAGATACCTGTTTAGGTGTTGATTATAGAACGAAAACAAGGTTACAGAGTTTCTCACAATTTCACTCGACTGCAAAAAGATTAACGATAGTTCAACGCACTTTAACGATATGTATCTCTATTAGAATTGTTCGCGAATAGTGTTGTTTCGCTAGCTGTAGCGTTTTCTGCCTCATTAGTTACGCATAGTTATTTCCACCAATTTACCTCTTCATTATCACTGTAGTTTTATAGCTACATATTTGGAATTACGAAATAAAATATTGTAGTCATTTATATTTTCTGTTCATTTGATGAAAATAATACTGGTATAAGTTTTTACGTACGTTTAACATTTTCTCGATGGAATAATTACTATCAGTCGTTTAAATATCGTTAGATTTCAGTGATAAAATACAAGCTTGCAAAACTGTATATTTTTAAAATATGATTTCAACTCGCCGTATCTAGACCGTGAATTCAGAAAAGCGCATACACATCTGCCTGACAACTGTGTCGTGTGACATTATCGTTGATATAGAGATTTGTTTTTATAAAATATATATTTATTTTAGCGAGCACAGGGTTTGAACTTTCACCTACAGTAAACTCTATATGATACGTTTCACTCTTCAGTCACTACAATACACTTCACAAACAACCTTCATTTTTATCGATTAAGTAATTTCTTTTAGATATTTGAAAAGAATTTCGATTAACAGTTGTTAGAACGCTTCAACTATGTTCGACGATCCGTAAATCAAAGTACGATTCGTTTTCTCCGAGTTCTCGAACAGCTCTACTGTTTACCCTTTTGTTTGCGATAGATAACGAGAAATTCCTGGAATTTACAGATGGAAACGCCTCTGTGGGATTGCATTAGCGAACCAGCAAAGGATCTCATACAGAGGATGCTCACGACAGACGTAAATCACAGGATCACCATACAGGAAGTCCTCAACCACAAATGGCTTAGAGTGAGTCACGTGTCGTTAAATACCGCCCAGGACCGTATCCTGCTTTTAATTCCCCCGTGATTCTACAACGCTTTCCATTGGAATTTTTTTATTTACTCAAAATTTTACATTGCTTCTGTATACTATATATTGGCAATAGGAAAAAGTTGCCAAGAAGCCATACGATTCGATCTTTGCAATGTTTAGAAGCAACGATACAATTTTCAATAATTAAGCGTTGAATGGTACTCGTAGAAAAATAATCACAGACAGCCTCTGAAAAGAAATTAAACTTTTACGCGAACAAAATCCCGTTTCATTCTATCACGCTACACGTGTCGCCGAGTCGAGAGAACGCTGAATGAGATAAGACTTTTTAGACGTCGTTAATTCGGCCAGCAGCTAGTACGCCCAGCATCACGGTAGATTCAAGCCGTTGATGCTAACAACTTCTATTTAGCAGATGCAACAAGCGTATCTGCTTCTTTTTATATCGTATCAGGCTTTCGATAAACGGCCTCATTTTCTGTTATTATATCCGGCGAATGTGCGTGCGCATGTGCAGGGCATATGGTGCAATAAAGTGAGAATATACCTATGTGATACGACGGTTAGCCAGTGACCTAAGGTAGTGAAGCTTGGAATCACCCCATGTATCGATGCAATACACGTGCAACTGGGCTATCGATCGCTATAGCAGGGGCAAAGTTCCATCGGTTAATGAAAATAACTGTAGCGGTGTATATTTTTCCTCTGTGCTAGTTACAGTTTTTTGAACGCAACTGCACATTCCCTGTGCCTCTAAGAACTTCATAGAAACGCATATAACGGTCGTTTCTTTTCCATTGAGAAGGAATTGTCTGGCTCTGCTTTCCATAATAGATCCGTTTTTAATGATCGTTTCAGACGAGGAACGTGCTCTATTCACGTAATAAAATCTCGCGATCTCCATTTGCCTGCAGTAGGTATTTCACAAATTCTGATCAGCGAATATCACACGTTTATCGAGCGAAAAATGTACAACACCGAATTAAAAAGATATTTACGTTTTTATGATCACTGGGCTTGAAATAAGAATTTTATAGCTTCAAAGAATAGTTAATGATTTAGTACGCCTTAGCTTGAAGAATTCCATTACATAGTTAATACAAGCTTTGATAAAGTTGTATGTTCACTTACCATGTTCTGTTGTACTTGCAGGATCGTGACAAGGGCGTGGCCCGAATACATTTAAGCGATACTATAGAAGAGCTTAAGAAATTTAACGCGAGACGAAAATTGAAGGAAGCTGTGAAAGCGGCGGTTTCGTCGCAAAAGTGGCACACCGCGTACTCGGAAGTAAATGGCGACAGTTTTTTCGACTCCGGAGACGAGGAAGTCATGACCACAGGTACGAATGCATCTTAAAAGAATGCTCGCGAAATAATTGCTCCATCGTCGCTAGACGAAAAAAGTTTGCGAAACGAGAAGTTAACATAATGGGCGGCAGCAAGTAAACAGTTCATTGTTGTGAAAATGTGAATAAATTGAGTCTAAACGCTTGCACAGAAATTTTATGTCACGCTTCTTACCTTTGTAAAGCGCTTTGTACATCTTTACGAAGCAAATCCGACGACAACCACCTTATTATTCGAGTGAGAATAATGGAAAAAAGAAATATAATCTTAACCCAATTTAAAAAAATAAAACTCATTGAGGAGGAAGAAGAAAATTAAACGTATAAAAAAGTCAATAGTTTTCTTCTTCTTCCTCTTTCTCTTTCATTCTACAACCATCGGAATGGCAATGTCTTTCCATTGCAGAATGTTAATTATTTATTTGTTATTTTAAATGGTGTATTCAATAACACTATTATAGAATATATGTTATTTCTTGAAAATAAAATTATTTTTTAGGTGCTGTAGCTGAAATTTTGGACTCTTTGGACGACATCGAGGTACTTCAAGAGAGTGGAAGACTGACGCGTAGCGAAATTCTGAATGCGGTCGATGATTATCGCCTTCGAGCAATTTTAGAGGTACGAGCGTTTTGAGAGGTATCAGTAACTTGGTCTTCAGTTCTTTGTAACAATTTTCGGCTAAATATTTGTTAGATATCCCAGGCAGTACATAAAATGCAACTTCCAAATGTGCTCCCATTTTCTGCAATTCTGATTTTCATTCTCATAAGACGAGGAATCTAGGATAAGTCGGGACAAAAATGTGTTCATACATTGCTTCATTTCAACTTCTCCGAAATTATACGCGGGAAACGTTCAAGTATATGTAAGAACGTCGTCTTCTAGCGGTGATCAAAACCACAAACGATAGTGTCATCTAGTTCAAATCAAACTTTCGCGCCATGGAAGTCGGAACCACTCGCGCCTGGTTCGTATCGATAACGTACCGACGCACTTCCGGTATTCTTCTGTATTAACTGCTGACGTTAACCGTCAGCATTTCATATCTATTCAAGATTTATACGTTAATGCATTATGCATTCAAATATATTCGTCGTCGATGCGAATTTTGATTATTACGGTCGCTTCGAGTTTCCGTTTCGCAGCGACGTTCCTCGACTGACGGTCGATGGACCGTTTTCTGTGAAACGCGGCGCCACTGTTGGTTTCCACTACCCCCTTGAGGTCGTTTTGCTTTTCGCCATGCTTGTCTCACTCCTTCCGTCTTTCATTATGTTTATATCCCGTGGGAAGAGGTACGCGCTCTCATTTTGCACAGGAAAAGGGCGCAAGCGCTCGCCCCTCGCCTATCAAGATGGCTGACGTGCTGTTGTAGTAAACAAAATGCCACGCAATATCGCGGAGTCGCCGAATCGCGTATTCAAACGGATAGATGTGTCACGTGCATCTTCTTTGTGTTCGATGAAAGGCCACGTGGGGTAACCCACGCGTTAGGCATATGACAGCCACGCCGTAGACAGAAATGCGACTTTGTCAATTGATGTTCATCGGCGAGGCCGAACTGGCCGGTGACCTCCTTGAAATTGCAGGTCTCCTGGTAAGTAAATCGGTCTCGTCCGAGAGCATGGCTCCCCGCAATTGGTTTTCATTTCTCAATTTCTTAAAGAAACTCTGGTAATGTAATTACAAGAACAGAATAATATGCTTTGAACCAGAATTATCAGTATCAGTCTCCAGAAAATAAATAAAAATTCTATAAATAGCTACTTTGACTTGATACTTAAACAGAACTATCATATGTATATAGAATTTAACTAACTACTTTCAGTGCTTTTGAGATTAGACAAGAAACAAATGTATCATCGATACAGAGTTGTTAAGTGTCTGTGGCTATGCAATTTTGTCATCAGCAGTATTAAACTTCGAGGCTGCGAACCTCTGCATCGTGCAGCAAGCTTGACCAGCGATCGCATTAATTCTGAACATGGATTACTCGAGCCACACACTAGGCACAGTAACACGATGAGACATCTAAAGGTTTAGCGTTGAACTAACGTGTTTTGCGAATACGATCAAAATGCAGGGCTGGCAGGTTCAGTAATTGGAGCTGCAGAAAAGGGGTGCACATTTAGCTCGAGTCCTTTTGAACATCTTTTGAATAAATTTCATAGAATGTCACACACTGGTCTTTTATGTGTTTTGAAGATATTCGTTATCATTTCAAATTCTAATAGATTCCAGTAAGAAGGATATTGATTTTTAAATACTTGTCGTTTGAATTGTAGTTTATGACTAATTTGTTGATAATTTTTCTTCAGCTGTACGATAAGATTTCGGCTCGGGTTTCAACGCCGTGTCGAGCGCCGCAGACAGATGCCGTTCAACGTGCGCGGGAAGTTGAAGAGCTTCTTCGGGAAATTGAACATTCAGCAATACGAAACATCGACAGGGCCGATCTTCGGGAGCTCTACGAACTTTTGGTCCAGCCGCATATGAGGGTAAGTCTGCGAATAATATCGATTCGTCATGTATTGGGTTAAGTAATAAATAATAGCTCCGTTGTTGTCGAGCTATTCCCATTTACAATAGTTCCTGTTTTCAAGTGAACAAAATTTGGATCGCCAGTTCACTTGAAAGCGGGGTACATGGCGATGTTTATTTCGAACTTAACTAGTATTCGAGGAGAAAAATAAACGTAATGTCTACATATCCAATAATTTTGTCGATGACACCAGATTGTAAAAATTTTGGAGGGTAGTTTTATCACTTCAGTTACAGTAGGTGACAAACTTGGTTACTTTATAAAACTGCAAAGTTTCTTTAAAAGCAGAAAGGATCTTTTTATTGATGTCGATGATTTTTCTAAATGACGTATTATAAATGAAATCAAATGCGGTAGAAGTTATTTATGACTCAACCCATTACTGAGATTTTTGCGCGAATGCTGAAACTGTGTATTAATACTAGATATAATTGATACGACAGAAATATTAGATTACTCTAGTGAAAATGATTTTTAACCTAGTTAATTTTACCGAGTTTAAAATTCAATGCTAGTCTAGGGGGCACGACTAACACTGGGCTAAATAAATAAATGATGAATAGAGATCTTGAAAAAGTAGAGATCGTATTATCAAATCTTAGGTAATTTTTCTGTTTACTGTATCTCATTAGTGAAGCCTGACGTTGAAGATGTATCGAAGTATGGGTAATTAGATTACGAGATATTCGTTCCTGCTAACTCTAGTTTTCGGAAGGGTCACAACTCCGATAAGTCTGGGGCATGCACGCAATTGCATTGATCTTTCTTTTCGTCGTGGCATCGGTCGTTGGTGGTAGTATATTTACCGCGGTGTTTGACATTGCCCGCGATACACTGTAAATAGGGTGCAGAAATGTAGGTCGATCGTTAAAATTCTCATTTAAAAATTCCGTAGCTGTAGCGAGAGGAACACGTAAAGGGGGGAACAGACCGTACGAAAGAGCAGGAGGACCGATGTGGAGGGAGAAAGAAAAAAGGCGGGCAAAGGTAGACTAAAAGAGCGATGTTACCGTGAAAAGAACGAGTTCTGATAGTCGAATGGATCTATGATCCTCCGCGAACCGACTTGTTAATTTTTCTTTTCACTCCGGATGCTAGACGTTCATTGTCCTAAGCCTGTTGTTCGCGAAATTACGTTGTCCGATTTTCGTCCACTTTAACGCTGATGAGACGTGTAATCAGTCCACCGTTTTACCACAAACCTCCCATTCCATCCCAGATTCGGGGGACTCCAACGTGGCGTCCTACTTTAATTACATAAGGATAATACGAGACTGCGGACGAAAATGGAGGAGAATCGACAGCCAAGCATTGCCACTGTTGCATTTTTCATTCGTGGCCATTTTTAATTATAGCAACGGTTCCATCCTTTATATAAAACTTTGTACGTCGTCGATGTACCGAACAAATTTAGGAGAGCTTTAATTTGTAAATTATAACTTTTATTAGATGGAGCGTAATTATCGTAACTGATGTAATTAAATTAGTTGTATCGTAATATTATATGAAACGTCAGTCGCTTTAGATCGATGCAAAATTAATATTTTCACCGAAATAAAATCGGAAATTTATTGAACTCTCATAACGAGTATTACTTTGAAGTACCGATGGCGAAGAGACGTTTTCCAATAAAATGTAACACACGCGTAATTGTTTTATTACTCTCGCAATAATTCCGCCAAGTTATCGATTATAAAACAACGAGCCCTCCATTTACATACGTCGTTAATTCCTTCTGAAGCTTTTCGCGTGCGTTGAATACGAATAATATGTAACAGTTAAAAGTGTGTTATCAATACTAAGAAGCATTCGAACAGTGTCACCAAATTTTTGCAAAATCCTAATTTCGAATTTAAGGAAGTAATTTGGCACGTTTTTAAATTTTTCGTATCTCCGAGTTTAATATCTGATCTCATTAGTTTAATCCGCCTTAAGGAGCACTCTGAGTTTCAAACGCTGCAACATCTTGGAAACGAACATAAAATATTAAGCTAATTGCGCGACCTTATTACGTTTTGAACCTCAGTCAATTGTTAAAGCGATAGCAGATCGCAAACAAAGCATAAGCATGCCACCTCGCTTAACGTCTTATCGTCAAATGGTACTCCAACAGCGAGGCAACAGCTTACTGGCTTGCACTCGCTCTGGAAACGATACTTCAAAGGAATGTGTTTGTCAACAGTTCTCTAACTGTTGCGTCAGATGTGTCCCAAATGTTCGACGGTATTTACAATCGATCAATCGCGTCGAAAACCTTTCAGAACGGAATAGCAAAGGAGTTCTGTAAGAACCTACCCATTCTCTGTTGCTTGTTTATTGGAAATCGGAGTGGTTCGCGAACTCGACGCGAATATTTCAACGAGTATACACGAGTAACGTTCCTATCGAGAGTTACTTCAACGTGCATTCGCTTTAGCGACCCTAATTCAGAATTTAAGGAATAAATCAAGCGATTAACTATCGCGACACTGGTCTGTTTATATCTCGTTACGCGATAGCCATCGGTAACCACGCTCGAAACAATACGAGGACGCGGTTTATTACCGTTCTACGGTTTAATGGTTAAGCAAATATGTCTAACCACGGTAATTGCATAATTAAGACTGCGCAGAATTAATAAGTTTCCGCGCCGAGGGACATTATACCCACTGCGGTCGAATCTGGTTTCTAGACGTACTTATACTGGTTTCGCTATTTCCAGAATTATAGTTATTGAAACGCCATACTTGGTGAAATGTAGGAAATCTCATACCGAGTGTGGCATTTAAGACAAGTCGCTGCAGTAATTCGTTTATTCGGAATAAATCTTGCTTGTTTTCAAAAGGGAATTTTGTAGAGGATATATGAAAGTGAAATTCTTAGTGACTGAAATTATCCCTAAAGTTAATATTTTTCCAGATATTTAAGCACAAAAATTTTACCTTAATGGTAGTGATAACTTGATCATGAGTTACAAGATGTAAACTGCCGAGATAAATAAAGTACACCAAGCATTTAGTAGATATTTCCATTCATTTCAGCTGAGTCACCATTTTAAGCTTGCGCTATATTATACAAACAACTGAGTTTCGTTATATTTATGTTTACCGGAGTGTTTAAGTATTCTCAATTGCTTCGTAATTAGCCTCTCACGGCGCAAACGTATAAATAGAGATGTATAAACATATACATTTTGTCATAACGCCAGATTTAAACGCGAATCAGATAAAATTTTGCAACTTAACGTGAAAGAAATCTCTTCGCCATTTTACAATTAAAATAAAAAATTACATAGAACGAGTTTAGCCACCGAGGATCCGGAAATTTTTGTTCGTTTTATGTCCTCGTATTCCATCCAACGATAAGATAGAGAGTCCGAAAAGAACATCATATTTCACGAATGTATCGTTTCTTAAAAAGAGATTCCGAGACTTTTGTCTAGTTAGATTGCGCAGACTTGCTTTTGGGGACAAAGCATTTTCCCCCGCCACGGTTTCTTTTACTGTATATGCATCGGGTACTGTCCGTGGGTGGAGCTCCTTGCGGCACTTTGTCTCCCCCTCCACGTTCCCTATTGTATCCGTTTTTGTTCTTATCCGGTATTGACCAATATTGATCATTAGCTGTGGAGATGCAGCTTTAGATAGGATCCAAGCCATCGATTTTACCAGCACGGTACACGAGAGTTCCTAAATGGTCATCCACCCAGGCATTCACCGTGTCCAGGGCAGTTTAACTTCGGTGATCGGACGAGAACTATAATAGTCTATTCTACGCGGAACCGCCCGGTTGACTATTGTGATTATAAAGGGCGCGCGCATCTAACGCAACATCAACTCTCTAGTGTTATTCAGACTACGCATACACGGTAGTCGAGCACCTTTCGAAGCGAACTCGTTCTACAGCGATTTTCAAATCTCAAGACGTGCCAATTGCAAATAACGACGGTCCGCAAACCTAGTTAGGTTCTTCTAAATTTCAAGATCGTGTGTATACGTGTCTATGTAAAAATATATTAGAGAGATCGTTAATGAGTAAAACAAGAGAGGGGTGGCTACGATGGAGGCCTCGAGCATCGGTCGAGACGACCTTAATTGGCGTAGAAAGTGAGTCTAAAATGCGGACAATTTGTGTCCAATTAAATTTACAATACTTGAAGCCAGGATACATGCAACTGAGGAGTTTGGCCATGAAGTAGAGAGACGCGAGGTTCTTTCGGAAAATGTAGTTCAATTGCGTTTTTTTTATTTTATAAGCTAGCAGGTCGTTGAAAATACTTTGGGTAAGATTCGACGAACTTTTAAGCTTGGAACATTTTAACAAGCTTTTCTCTTAAATTCCTTTAAGGGTTCTTAACATTTCTCTTAAGCTTAGATTCACAGATACCTTCCTCAAAGAATTCACTTAAATGTGTGAAATATGTTCGTTGCATTCTATCGAATGATCTTAGCTGAGACCCAATTGAAAATGTAATCTGTCTCCTTTTCAGTCTAATATAAATTCTATCGAAATTACCTAGCGAAGTTTAACTCGTTGACCTTAGAACCGCCAATTTCCTCGAATCGGAGTTCAATTAAAAAGGTCTCGGTGAAATTCCTCGCAAAAAGCTTATCTTGTCCCACGTAAGCCGTAATCCTGTTTGGTGCGTTATATCCGAGCGACTCAGGATTATCACCACAATTTGAAAGACTAATCAATTATTTTTTAAGAACGTTATTCGATCGCTAAGAAAGATTCGTGGGTGGAAAAGAACCGGTGCTCCGTGCAGCCCAGTTATCAGCCGAACGATAATAATCTCTGAACGTCCCAACGGCTCCTCTCAACGGCGGAAACGACTCTGATAAACAGGAGACAGTGTCCAAGAGGGAAACCGATCCGTGAAGTTGGGTCACGATTGCTTCGCGTTACATCTTTCGGTGGCACGGGACGACGGTCCAGAACAATTGGCAGCTGCTGGCGTTGGCGGTGCTGCGAAAA